CACAACGCAGAAGGTGAGAACATGAGCACGATGCACAAAATGTAATATTTATGGTTGCAATTCGGCAAAATCACCAGAAGAAGTTCAAGTATCAGAACACACAAGGAGATTTAAAGTAGAGACTGACCGATATGGGTTTTTTAGAGCCAGTGCTGATTACTTGAAATCAAGAACGGCTGATATTTTGAACTGATATGTATAAAATGTAATGTTTTAACAAGCAGGGAATCTGTCATTGATAACTAGACTTCTTCATTGATTATATAACTGATATGTAAAATAGAAACAGGAGTGATTAAATTCAGACGCTCTCCTCTGTTTATGTGGGATCCACTGATATTTGTCACCTTGTCTCCTGCCATTTTGTTTGCTGTTCTTCCACTTTTATTACCCATTAAGGTCCATCTTCTAAAGCAATATTAATTACTGTTTTCCTGACTCTCTTTCAGGTTAATCTGTAGCTGCCCTGCTAGCTGTTAGCGTCGCCGTAGCCACTGTGAGAGTAGCTACAAGTCGTATTCCTTGTTCGGTTCTTGTACTCTTTGCTTGAGAGACATTTCTGAGACCACAGAGTCACGACAGATCTGAAGTGGCGCATTTAATTTATCAATAATGTGTCAATAAAAAGAACAATACAGATAATCGGGAAAAATCCAAGTATCAGCCAGGCCAATAATCGGTTTAGTTTACTGTCATACACCAAGAAAGATTCCTTATGTCTTGCGAAACTTTAGGCTACCAGGACACCCCGGAGATTCTTCAGTCAGACAGTGTTTTCTCATTATCGTTTTGATTACTGAACAATGTGCCCGAAGCAACTGGATGCAAAAGGGAACTATTTATCTCGTGTGAGGCAGGAGCACAATCATGTTTTTGCGGTGCTTGCAAAATGAGTGATTGGAACCCAAAACTAAACTCAAAACAGGACGACATTGCAATTGTGATTTCAGTTGTGGTTCTTTTCAGATTTGAAGAATGTAACGTTACCAAACCTCGAGGCATCATGTTTTGTCCAAGCAACAGTCCAAAACTCCAAAAGGATTCAATGGTGAAATGATAAAAAAAACTGATTTATCGCGTTGATATGAAGCTATTAGCGGCTAGCAGAGACACCAGGTTAATGCGTGTGTGCACAGTGAGGTGTCTATTGGTCAGTAATGAGCTTTGATGAACATTCATCTGCACTACATTGTACCCTAAATGGATTAGTCCTGGTGTTAATGCAGGACGCCCAAGGAGGTCTCATAATCTCATTATATGGAATGAAGGCATTGTGAACAGCTAATCCTCTGCCTGCTGTGGGACCACCACTGGGATCACAAAGCTCCCAAAGGCTGTAAGAGAACTGAACCAGGAAAAGAAAGACAAGCAGAGAAATTGGATGAGCAGCAGTCTGCTAATGCAGAGTGAAAGCAAAGCAAAGCGTACCTGTAAGGTGTAGTTGGCCTTTTCACTGATGAGCTGGGCGATAAATTTGGCTGTATGCTGGAAATGGACTTTTTCTGCAGTAAAACAAAGACGCAAAAATATTAGTTGGTTCTCGTTTACGGATTCATCCATTTATTCCGACACAATTCTTAACCTACCGTCAGCTGTCGGATGGATAATAAGAAACTTCTTGTCCATGAATTGAGATGCTCTGTGCGCTAAATTTGCCGTCTGAAAAAAAAAAAAGGCACACGGGAGCAAATTAATACTTCAGTAATTATCACAATTGGAGTTTGAGTGTAAAAGAAATGCAAAAAAATCTTACTGTGTATGCCCTTGGATCAGGCTTGGGCAGTCCGAGGTATCTCTCAGAAAAAGCAGATGCTGGAAAGGAAATAAGGTTGCAGTTAGTATTTTATTTTGATATGACTCAGTGTTTCTAAGTCATTCAGGTGATAGTAACCTAAGTGCTTGGATGTCTTTTCTGGTTCTTGTAGATGGTTTCATCCAAGAGAGTTCCCTTATTCCAACTGGCTGGTTGGGAGTTCTTGGTATTAATTATCACCCCAAACTTAGTAAAAACTGAAGAGGAAGAGCCGCATAAATGGTGCCATCTCTTCTATTTAGATAGCACTTCCAGTTAAGCCCAGTCCTGTCCTGAAAGTAGTGTCCCTTATCCAAGAGATAAGTCTTGTCCCGAGAAGCTAACTCGATGGAGCGGCATTGGACGTCATATACAACCAGTTGGAGAAAATCCTAAATTCCTTGTACACTCCGACAACACAAGGAATGATAACATAGCTGGGCTTGGTGTTTCTTTTCCAGACGTCCTAGCGAACCACACAACGCCCATTTGGGGATAGCTACAGGTTCACAGTGTTCTCTTACTGCGTCTACACTACCTTTTTGTTTTCCTCTCCGTCTCTGGGGATTTTTTTTCCAGCCCAGCGGTGTAATGTTCTAATAACTCCCAGCTTGTGTTCCAGTGGGTGGTGGGAGTCAAACAGTCGATATTGCTCTGTGTGTGTGTGGGTTTCCTGTACGCTTCAGTGGGGCTTCCATCTTTCTCGGTTTTACAAAGCACAATCCAAAAAGTCAACTTGTTTTCCCCTGACATCCTCCCTCGTGAACTCGATGTTGCTATCCACCTAACTGGTTTGTACAGCGAAGGCTTCTGCTTTCCTGACTTTGCTGACAAGGTGTCGGGAATTTGGTTCGTGGCGTCAAGTGTTTCCAACCAGAGAGCTTCGGATGTCTGTATATGTGGATGGTGTGGCTTCTCCAGAGACAGATGATGACTTTTTGTTCCTTTTGGAGTTGTTGTCAGCCTTCTAGAACATTTTTCTGCTGTTGTAGGTAATACTGTAGCATGGTAATTGGTTTGGTAGCCATCCCAACTGGGCCTTTATTAAGGCAGTTAACATCTCTGGAAAAACACCTAAACACTAGTTGGGCAGTGTTGTACATGCAGTCCAATGCAGTAAGGAGTGCACAGACCTTTATATAGAGGAGACAAGTGCATGACTCAACACAGGCGATTCAGTTTCTTGGGCAAAGATTGAGCAGTCTACCGTTCACGCCTTAAGCTGTGTGAGTTGATAATAAATAGCGGGAACTGCAGAAGTCTTGCAAATGAGAGGTAAAAAAAAAAAAAGAAGCCCCGCTGCCCTCTGCTGAAGCACTTAGGATTTGCTTTGACATCAAAATCAAATGAAAATGTCCCATTAATACGAGGACTGATGCACCATTTCTGTCCCGTTCTGGCCATTTTTTAAAGGTTTTTCTTCCCCATTATTCAAATATATTCAGCCATCTACATATTCCTTAGTTTTCGAAGCAGTTGCAGACCGTCTTCATTTGCAATTCCAAACTTACACAGTGTCATGGCATGTCTCTCACCCCCTCTGGCAAAGCGAGAGAAATCAAATAGATGGGAAATCAGTCACACCGCAACGCCCAGCTCCTCCTTAATTTGCAGTTTCCTTACTCGGCGCGCCTACAGCTACGACGGCACCGTCTCTGTCTCTCTCCCGATACACCGCAAATTCTACATTTCACACATTTTATTCCTTTGGTAGCCGAGGTGAGGGCGGCGTAGTTAACTTTGTCTGGCGCCGCTAGGATTGGGTTCGAGCTGTATCTGCGCCATCACACAGATAAGACTCTTTTCTCTCCTCACACAGGGTACATACATGTGTAACACAGTCGGCGAAAGTAATCCTGGCTGCAGGGAGGAGGGGAGGAAGGTGCTAGATTTAGAATCTGTCTCTCTTTTTCCCTTTGAATTCGTTCTGACAGCGCTACCTGAGCTGGAATGATTATGCAGAGATACTGAATTTGTTTACTGCACAGCGTAGCCTGTAGCTTTTTAGCATTTGAGTGTACATATTTTTAAAGAAATCGCCGCAAACACAGCTTACCGTATAATTCGAAATCAGTGATGGGCGAGAGGACGGCGCCGCATTTTACGGGAGACTCCTCGCCGCTGACCAACAGGCTGGTCACATAGCCTCCGTACACCTGAGGGACGACAAATGCATGTTATCACAGAGCCAACAGGCTGCAGCGGAAAGAATAACCAGTTTTTTTTTGCAACCTGTTTGGTCCCTAGTTCCTATAATATATTAATTCTTTCAGGTACAGCACACATTGAGACTATTCTTACCTTCCCAAAAGCTCCAACTCTGGTTTTGTCAACATATGGCTCTTTTAGAATAAAGCTGTAAAAGATAAACATTGGTTCTGGTTAGGAGAACTCACAACAGCAACTGTAGCTAAAAGAGAAGTTGATGTCACACAGTGTTGTACCATGTGCTGTTACCTGTGTGCTTTTTGTTTTGTTTGCCTAGAAGTAGCTAAAATCAGTCAAATCTGATGAAAGATAAGGAATCCTGCTGTGCAATGCCAAGCAACAGCATTGATCCATACGATGCAGCAGCAGCCCAAGCAGAGATTACAGACCCTGATGCATTACCTCCACTGACATCCCTAGTTTTAAGACTGACTTCATGCACTTTGCGTGAGTTTATAAGTTACAAATCCCCGGGTCCTGAACAGCTTCGCGGTGGCTGATCTGCTGACTCACAAGCTGGCGAACGGTGGGAGTGAAATCACACTTGGAAAAACACAGCGGCACTCCTTATTAAGCCACAGAACTTTCAGAAGTATTCGGCAAATTTAATTATCGAGTCATACTCGGTGGGTTCGACAAGTCATGAGCTTCCAGGGATTTGTAACTTTAAACTTGTGCAAATTGTGTGCACTCACGCCCAAAACGAGACGTCTTTGGGATGGCGCATCACATGGAGCTATGATGTTTATGTTAGTTTGCATGGTGATCTAACTTCTCAGCTACCATCTCTTTTCTTTCCGACTTCTCCATAAGATGCGACCGATTTAAACAGTTCTTAATAAGGCGGAATGATTTAGGGAAAATATCTAATGGCTATTTTTCTGACAGATATTTTGCTTGAAATTTGAATTGCGAAACCATTTCTTAAAGTCGAGCTTCAGCTCAGTGTTCGCCAAAAAGCAAATTTAAAATATATGACTAAGCATTACACAAGGAGTATGGCATGAATTAGTAAAACCATTGACACAGTTTGAACTCTGGCTCAAGATGTGGCTAATAAACCCCAGCGTGTATGACTGAAAGTAAATTGAACTACATTACATCTGAGCTCACATGATTTACTCTTAGTCAAACTAAAGGTAAGCAGGTAACCTCACATTCTTGAACCAACAGGCACCATAGCATGATGTTAGCTTTACATTTTCTGTACACAAAATGTTTTTATCAGCTGTTTAAGAGGAGCTTTCATCATAATATTGAAGTGATTCACAGGGAAGGAAACTGATCTGATGGCACCACTCGTTGTAGTTTAATTATTTATGCAGTAATCCCTGATATGAATTCTCCCAAACCAGCTACTCGACATGTGTGAGCAAAAGGAGAGAAGGGTGAGAAAGGGTGTTTGTACGACACATTCTGATTTGTTTCATAGAAATTTAAATGTTAAAATGAGAAATTAATGTGCAAATAAGCCAATTTAGATCAAATTTTTTTGTCAATATTTGTGGCTCCATGTAAGCACAGATACAGTTTCATGACACACACGTCTAAACCTGTATTTAATGTCCGGTTTTCCAGGAAGACTTTTCCACTTACTTGAGCGCCTCCTTCTGGTCCTGCTCCTCGTACACTCCCAGCCTCTTCTGGATGCGGTGCAGCAGGTTGGTGCCCTGGAAGCCGCTGCCTCGCCCGTCGCAGCGCACCACGATGGCGCCGAAGCTGCTCACAAGAACCGTGGCCCAGTCCATGTGGAACTTCTCCGACACCATCTGGCCACCAGGTGTCCCGTCGCTGCACCACAGACAACCAGATCAGCACAATTAATGCTGTGAGGCACATTTTTAAAAAAAAAACTAACAGGATATGAGTTGGTGTCTGTGTAGATGCCTGAATACATAACATTATCCTCTCATTTACCAGAAACTAGTGCACAGGGGAAATACAGGAAAGCTTAACACAGAGCAAACATTTAAAATCAATGAGACTTTTTGCAGATATTCTACATTTGCACTCAGATATAAATTAGATTCAAACTACGAGGAGCTTAAACTGAAAGCGACAAGAGGATGAAGGAAGAGTCTCAATAAAACTTTAAGGTGGGAACTTCCTCCACCTAAGAGTAATGTGGGTTTACACAAAATGATGTTAGCATTTTTTTCAGAAACATGCCAGCAGGGGCACCGTTCTCCAAAGCCTCGGTTTGAGCTGCAAAGCAAAGCAGTCTGAGGCCCGAGGATAGAAATGCTAATGAAAGAACGGGGTGGAGAGGAGGTTAAGTTTCCCTGTTCCCAGTGTAATTATTATCCAGCTGGAGTAGAGGACAAAGCAGCGGCGCTCTGAGTGAGATTAATATGGCTGATTAAAACTCTGCTCAGGAAGTTTCCATTGATAAGGATGGACATGTCCTCTTCTAACTCGGGAGTGAAGTGTGGACATGAGTCAGCAGCGCTAATGGACACAAACTTCTTTTTTTTCTCTTGTCGGTGCGAAGCGGCGCGCTGATACATACACAAGCAGGAGCAGCGGGTAGTGGGCCGAGTCCGCGAAGCCGGCGGGTTTCAGGATTTGCAGGGACAAGGCTGTAACGCAGAGACACAACACTGTTAGTGCACAATAAATTCACTTAGTCCTCTTTAACGATAGTATATTGTGAACTCTATTAGCTGTTATTATCATGAACAAGGTGGCATAAGGTGTCACAAGTTAAAAAGTAAACACTAACATGCCTTGGTGCCATTTAACTGCTACAGATGGGTGACAAATTAAAGGAGAAGGTGTGTTAATAAGGTGTTTTGCCACCTTGTGCCACTAGAACAGCTTCACTGCTCCTTGGCATCGATCCCTCAAATCTCTGGACATCTACTGGAGTTAGGAACTCGATTCTTCCCAAAAATATTCCCTCATTTGATGTTTTGATGATGGTGGAGGACATCATGTCCAAAATCTCCCCTTTGTGTTGAATTTTGGTTCAGATTTGACGACCGCAAAGGGATCTGGATGGAAATGTTTCACCACTCAGAACAGCTTGTGACCCTTTTGCCATCTTAGGGGCAAAAATGCCCCTGAAAGCCCAACACAGACACCAGATCCCCTCGCTGTAAGGTCAAAGGCTTCAGGTTTTTTCCTTGAATTTGTCACCCGTCTGTTTATAGCATTATTTGCAATTTAAAAAAAGAATCCAACAACAATAATCAGTTGCTGCTAAAAATAAGACCTTTGACAAATTGTAGAAAAGTATGAGCATCTCTTAAGTATGATCGAGTTAAGAATACACACTAAACATGCTACTGTAGAGCCAAAATCTAATAGACTGTCCTCTTGTGCATTTGCTCTGTATGCAGCCATCTAGTGTCTTTACAAGTTCGTCTTAAAGTGCCTCATAACAACTTATTACACTGCGGCTGAGTGTTTGTCCGAGTGAGGAGACGTACTGTAGTCGTCCATGTTGATCTCCTTGTACTCCACTGTGGGCATCTGCATGGAGTCCAGAGTCTGCTGCAGGTTCTCGTTGCTCTCCAGCTTATACACCTCTGCAATACCTGAGGACAGCAAATCAGGAGACCAGTGAGATTACGGTTTATAGAACTTAAACTATTATTAATATTTAAGCAGGAGGTCCCTTTTTAAACCTATAGGGTAAATCCAGGTTGTGATTATAATAGCTGGCATCAAATATATGTTACAGCAAATCAGAAAACCTATTGGCTTATTTTTATTTCCATGTGATTGAATGGAAATGTTACATTTGTCAGAGACAGTAATATGTAAATAGACTGAATGTGATATTATGTACTGAGGCTGTATTGATCGAGCGTTTATTTTAAATTCATGATCCCAAGACATCAATTTAGTCAGTTTGATAGTGAAAATGTTCTCGTGGTTAAACTATGCCTCAAACTATGAGCAGCGACTTTAACTAATGGAAACCAAAGACAAAAAAAAAAACTAACTGCAGCTGAAACCGTGACCTAGATTCTCTCTTAAGACAAACTTTTTTTTTTTTTTTTCCTTCCTCGAGAGCTTCGTCCTGAAAAGAGAAGCAGCCTGCACTTAATTCAGCAGCTGCAGCTGGTTTGTCCTACACCAGCTTATCACCGGCTCGGCTGCCGAAGTCAAAGAGGCTGCGGCAAACGCTGCACGCCGCGAGAGGTTTGTGCGAAAACGGCCAAAAGGCGGCATCCAGGAGGGAATTGAAACAAAAAGGCTGCAACAGCTGCTCGTGCCCGCGAGTTTAGATAAAACTGGGCAGGCTGCTGGTTGGGGAAACTTCAATTAAAACTTCTGAAAGGAAGGAGAAGAATAGAGGAGGCTCCGTCTGGACTGCAGACTGGAGCTGAGCGCCGTAATCAGTGTGTTTCTGTACACGTGGACTCTGTTCTCTGGTATGACCTTGTTGCTATCAGCGCTCACGTAGAAAGACAAACTAGACGGACTGCCGGTATTGTATGGTGTAGACATTCATGTTCCATTAACCTTTTATACAGAATATACTATGAATTTATTATGAATATTCTGTACATTTACAAACTCTGTGCAATGTACGTTTTTCTATATATACTAGAATCTGTGCAATAATGTTATTTTTCTACTTATGGACAAATCTGTGCAATATAGACAAAACTTTAGCCTAGTATTTATGTATTTATCTATTTATTTGATATATTTTTCTCCTGATATTTGTTTAAATGTCTGCACTAGCCCCTTTGCTGCTATAACAATGCCAATTTCCCCAAAAAAGATTTATCGTAATGCATCATATTGATAACAAAATATGCAAAAACTAATGATATCTAACATACCTGCATAAAAAAACTGCATTTTAAATATTGCATTGACTGATTAACCGCCAGCTATTCTGATAATCGAATAATCAGTTTGAGTAATTTTTTTTTTAGCCAAAAAACGTCCAAATTCTTTAATTCTAAATTCATAAACTTGAGTAGTTTCTGGTTTCTCTCCTCTCCTGTGAAGGTAAAAAGCTGAATGTCTCTGGGTTGTGGATAGAACAAGCCATTTGAGGACGTCATCTCGTGCTCTGGGAAACATTTATCCCCCATTTTCTGACATTTTTATTGGCCGAACAACCGATCAATTAAATAAATGGATGGCTTTGCTGCAATGCCACTTACTTCATCAGCATCGGTCAAACCTTTTAAATGCACAGAACTCACTACTTTGGCAGGTGAAAATTTGGGAAACACTTACAAAGTGCATTACATCAAATAATCTACAATAATACCGTATAATTGCTGCATTTACAGACTTTGTCGGGGCACGGAGCTCGTATAGGATGACTACGACTGGCGCACACACACACACACACCGTCATAATCAAATTACAGTATGCTGATATTGCTGTTGGGCAGGTCATAATGTAATGAGGACATCCATTTTGAGGAGTAATGTGATTACTGCCATCTTGCCAGACTTGGCTTGTAGACAAACAGTGACTCAGAGCACAGGTGGTCGTTGTGCACCGCAAACACTTCTCCCGTCTTTTGACAAGGTCATTTTGAATGTAGTCATTATGCCGCTTGCACACAAGGTCACTTGTAATGTCTTTTAACATAATTCAGAGTCTTGTAAATGCTAATGCGGGCGCTCCGGCTGGCGGAGGTACTCACTTTCCGTGTCTTGCGACTCGCTTTCCGCGTCTCTCTGCGTCTTGTAAATGGCCACAAATGGGATATTCGGCCCTAAAGAGAAAAAACAGGATGGAAAAAAGTGTAGTTTGATGAGCATTTTTATATTTAGCAGTGACATAGGAATTGTTTTCACCTCAAAAAGTACTAGAAAGGGAAACGTTTGTCTTAGTTTTGAGGCTCTAAAGTTGTGACATGCAGGTAGATTGCTATATTTAGTTTCCGTGTTCCTCATCCGGTGATGTGAGTCTCCTCCACACAATCAGAAAGAGACACGCCAGATCTTTTGTCCGCCAGACAAAGAGCCAATTCTTTGCTTATTCGATTTATGTAATGCAATAGCCGAAATAGCTTTTTTTCCATATCTAGGCCACAAACAGAAGCAAAGCCTTAAAACCCCAGAACGGAGGGGGGAGGAGGCGAACGATTGATGCACTTAGCAGATTGAGAACACGACACAGGAAGGCTGTGGTTGTGTTGTGGTGGAAGCTACACCAGCCGGCCCCTCTCCATCTCTTAATGATATCACAACCTCATCACATAAGATCACGCGCAGGCTGTGAAGGAGAGAACTGGATTACAAAGATAAGAGGTTCATGAAGGGATTTTCTGGGGTCAGCCGAGACGGTCTGGCGGTCACTTTTCATCTGATCCGACTTCGCCGACGATTCAGAGGTGATTGACGCAAAAGTGGTGGATGAGTGATTAAATATTGACGCCACGGGCTTCACGTCAGACTGAAATCACAGGTTCGGGCTCCATTTTTGCGGCGGAGCGACAACAGCGTGATGACATTTTTGATATTTCTCTGATCTCGAGAAGTGGCTCGTCTGTTCTTTTTTTTTTTTTTTTTCTATTTTCACACCCAGCGCAGCGCGTGTGGATCAAAGGTGGAAGGAGAAGTGCAACCAAGTGGGGAGTTCCTTTCGTTTTTTTGGTCTTCTTTTGACACTTTGATGAGTGCACGCATGCGAGCTCCGGGTCTATTTATGGCACAGTGTCACTTTTCGCAAAGGTGATTCTATCAGGAGGTGCACATAAAATACTTGATAGAAATATGAAATAGTTTTGCAATAAAACCAAAGTACATTTACCCAGTTACTTCAGTGCAACTCTTAGGTACTTTATTTTCCATTTTATGGTATTTATACTTAACCCCACTTCATTGGAACACTAAAAACAATGCATTGTTAAAGGCTCAACTATCTAACAGTGAATGAAGCATGTAAAATAAACTTTACCTCTGCTTATTATAACAATAATGTACTGCTAACATGATACTGCATCAATAATAATGAGTCAGTAGTATGTTATAACACTGTTATATGGTGGTAATTACTCAGTTTATGTACATTCAATAGTTTAAGTACATTTTGCTGTTGATATGTTGATTTAAGTAAACTGTATTTAGAATTCATTTATTGAATAACTCTGGAAAATTTAGACTGACATGAAAAAAACAGTTTTATAGAAATATTCCAACAGCTAAATGTGTATATTTTAGTAGTTTTAACATTAAAGAGCCCATATGATGCACATTTAAAGGCTTATATTTAGATTTTTTGGGATTTACTTGGATATGTTAACGTATTAATGTTGAAAAAATACATGATTTTTCTAATTATTGTACATTCCAGCTCCACTTCTTCTCACCTGTTCTCTGAAACATTCAGTTCTGTCTCTTTAAGGATTTCTTCCCCAAAAAGCCTGTTGGTCAGATGAGCTAAACTATTGGTCACAGACATAACCCCTAAAGTGCAGCAGCTGTAGCGGGGAAATAATAAGCTGCTGATTCTGTGTTTAAAGGCCAAACTAGCAGCTAGTTATGCAAATGTGTTACATGATGACATCAATAAGTAACAGCAGACTTCAAATGAAGCATTTCAGGCTGGTAAGGAGAAGTGGTTTTCTGTAGTTACATGCACAAAACAAGCTATAACAGGCTCAAAGCAAAGGGGGAAACCCTAAAAAAAGCAACATATGGGCTCTTTAATGAGCGATTACTACCTTTAGCTAACATTTTCTCCTGCGTTATGGAGACACTATGAAACTAGTTCAGTTATTTAAAGCAAGACAGATAAATGAACTGCAACGTTACATCTGCAGCTTCCTTCCTGATGCAACAGTATTTACTACCAACCTCTGCATAGCCTAAATAATGAATATTACAACTTTAAAACCTACTCAAAGTGGCAAAAACTGGATGAATGGCCATTTACATTATGGCTGATTAACTACAACACCTCACTGATTTGTAGCTGTTGGGCTGTTATAGAAGTTGCTTGGATGCATCCTCTCAGACTTTGTGGACATGCACTTTACAATGTGTGTGTTACAACAGCCTTTATAGAGCGAACAGACGGCTGAAGGCTACCTTGGCACTTGAGCAGGAAATAGCTCATGTTGTGGCTGAAGGAGCCGCTGATGTATCCACAGCTGTCGGACAAGGCGCAGGACAGACAGCGGCGGTTGAACGAACCAAACGTGTCCGCGCTGCCAAATGAAACAAGACAACATTTTGCAGATTTTTTTTTTTTCAATCTAAACAAACAAACAAACACCTTTCCCCACTATCAACAACAACAACTACAGCTAGGATTACAGCAAACGTTACCTGTACAGATGCCTTCTCTTCGGACCATCTTCGGTGCTCAAGAAGTATCTACGTTAACAGAAGAAACGACAAAAGTGAAGTGACAGCGGATTGGAGCTGCCCCACATTGTGTACAGTGATGCATAGTTGCACAAAACCAGCTTTTGTTTTTTTGGTCACCTGTCAGCTTAGAAAAATGGAAAAAAAGCACCTGGAACACACAAACGCTACTTCAGCTACTCACCAGAATAGATGCTTCATAAATGAATGATGGGGGTATCAAGATGGAGGGGAAAAACTGGAGGGGGTGAATCCTTTTAGAACCAAAGTAGGTCAAATCTTACCCCCTTGGGAAGCAAGTTTTTTGGGTGAGACTTTTTCAAAACAAACTCTGGGAACAAAAGGATACCCGTGTGTCTATATCCAGCATATGTGTGTGTGTGTACATGTGGAATCATGTTAGTCAGATCACAGCGGCCTCGTGGCCTGAGATGTAGGAGGGAGAATATCTGGGAGTGATGGGGATGAGTCACACTCCTCTGTTACACCCGCAATATTCATATGGTGGGGAGCTGAGTGAGCTGGGACGGTTACAGTTACTGTAAGAGAAAAACGTCTCTGTGCTGTAAAGTGGTTATATATTGTATTTAATACACATCATGACAATAAACGGGGATTTCGGTGCTAAAACATTCAAATGATGGGTCCGTCTCTGTCCGTGGTGCTGAAATATTCTGTTTAGCAACACAGAGGATGTGTTAGCCAACCAGGACGTGCTAATTTTAGGTGTTTTGTGATAAAACAAATTTTTATATTACTTAAGGACCAACCTATATATGTGACAGCGACTTCTGCAAAGTTAAATATATTTAGCTATAATGAGAGTAGTAAACAGTTTCATGAATGTGTTGCACTGCAATTTTATTTATGTACTTGTTGTTATTTCTTTGTCTAGGCGGGATGTTGCGGGTTGTTTGTGCGTACTCACATCAGCTGACTGTCCTCGTTGTAGGCCAGGACCTGGGTGACGTCCCAGTCTCCAGACGTGATGGACTGCAGCGTGTCTGTACTGGTGTTGGGCTTCAGGTGTGGAGAGATAAAAAAAAAGAGAAAGAAAAATAGAAGAGAAAAATGTTATTTTATTCTGAAAAGTGCATGAATTTCTTTGTTTTCATTGCAAATTTGCAATATTCTCTTAGTGCATAATAAATGAATACAAAGTGAGCAAATAGTCCAGATGATAAGTGTTATGTGGCTCTGCAATAGAAACTGCTTTTCAGTCTGTTTGTCTGCTAGTTTGAAGTGTCTACCTGAGGATGGTGGGTCAAACTAAAAGCTTAAAAATGCCAAAATTTGAAGGAAAATAACATTGAGTTTATATTACTTAAGG